TGAAGGAATGCGCGAGATTCTAGAATTCTAAGTGCTGGAGGGTTTTGATCCTAGAATAATCAATCTATGATGAGAGATGCAAATAGTTTTCTTGACATTGAAACCTTGGAATCTTACATTTAAAATTCTTCATGCATTCTTCTATGAGCTATTTCAAAGAAACAGATTTTTTTGAAAAAGGTGACATATTGATGCCACATCAGCTCCCATGCGGTAGATATTTTGAAGAAAACCTATACCAAAGGTCAACAGGAATTCCACAAAACAGTGGACTTGTCTAATTGAAACCCAAGGGCTGATCAACAAGCACTTGGGTTGATAAAGCAGAAGGGATGGTTACCACTCCTCTTGCACTAATTGAAAGTGATGAGGGGTAAGCTAACTTACTTCAGGGACTATTCTGCTTTTGTCTTCTGGCTGCTGTCCTGTTGTCCTGCCTGTTATGAAGCTACAACTTACATTTCTTGTTAAAGATTTATGAGAGATAGGGCAGGTTTGCATGTCACACTGTGCCAACTTGAAGTCATAGTAGGGGTTGGGGTTTTTTTTGTGTTTGGACGCTTTGGGGGGGGGGTACGTCCAGCAGACAGTTGTGTACTCTGTGACTTGTTCCCCCTTAATCCTCCAGCTCCACCCAGCATGTATCCCACGGGCCTTTGTGGTATAACTCTATCCATGAAGTCTTTGCATGCATGGCTGGTGACGTTGGAGCAAAGAGATTTCTGTCACAGGTTTCCTGACTTTTCCTGGCATGTTTTTGTTTTGACAACTTTTTCCAGCTGTAGATGGAAATTTGTCAGAGTTAGTCAGTAGAAATATTTTTTCTCCTAATGCTTTGCTGGTGCTTATCAGTCCTCACCTCTGTTCTTTTTTTCTCTGTTTACTGTCCCACCCAGTTCGTTCAGTAATTAACTAAATGGATACAGAGGTTGCTTGGTCATTAAGATTTTTTTTTCATTAATTAGAATGGCTTCTCAGTTATGACTTAGCTCATTCTTGGCCACAAAGATGCTTTGGCCTTATTTTCAGAGCAGAACACTATACAGGGCATCCTTGGAAGACTGAGACCAGTCCACTCATCTCCTATCTATTGTAAGGAAGAAGGAGCATCTGTGCAGGAACATCCTCTGCATCTGCAAGGGAATCTTTTATTTATCTGGTTGTCTCTCTAAAGTTTTTGCTTACATTAGATTTTTATTGAGTCTTTAATCAAACTTTGTGAAAACACACTTGTTTTTGAGAAATGCTCCCCTAGTACAGGGTTTGGCAACCTGCAGCCCTCCAAATATTTTTGGACTCAACTCTCATTAGCCTGAGCCAGTATGGCCAGTGGTGAGGTTTGATGGGATTTGTCATCCAGCAACTTCTGGAAGGATACTGTTTGCCCACCCTCTAAAACCTAAGCTTTACCATAACTGGAGACCTAAATTAGAATTGGAGTAATTGTACTAATCTTGTGTCTGAATGTTTTTCCCCCATAGGTAAAGTATGTGTGCAGAACTTCACCGCAAGTGTTTTAAGACAAGGGAATGTTTTTCGGCAAGTACATCAAAAGGAGGTTCAGCAAGAAGTAATATTCAACCCATCTTGAAAAACTGTGCCTGTAAGTGCCAAACAAATCTGAAAAGGAACTAGCTGGAAGTCTACGTCTTGATAAAAAGTGCATTCTTTTGCACTTTCACTGATTAAATATCAAGACAGAAATACAACATCAGCAGAATAACCACAGGCCCTGGTGCTTTTTACATATTTGGGTTACAGTCCTCATAACTGATACATTACTTAGTCTGTTTAGAACTGCTTTTATTGTATATACAATAAAACTGAGTAGCACTGTGTTGCTGTTGTTCACTAAGAGAATTGAATTAAAACATTTGCCACAATGAGTGCAGAAGGATACCAGTACAGAGCTTTATATGATTACAAAAAGGAACGAGAAGAAGACATTGACTTGCACTTGGGAGATATTTTAACTGTGAATAAAGGTACTTTAGTCGCCCTTGGATTCAGTGATGGAGAAGAAGCAAAACCTGAGGAAATTGGTTGGTTGAATGGTTATAATGAAAATACTGGAGAAAGAGGGGACTTTCCAGGAACTTATGTAGAATATATTGGAAGAAAAAAAATTTCTCCCCCAACTCCAAAGCCTCGTCCTGTTCGACCACTTCCTATGGCACCAAGTCCTGCAAGAATAGGAACAGACAGTGATCAGCCAGGTTAGTATTGTCTCTTTTTACCAAGTAGTTGTGGTTCAATATCAAAAGATTTCTTCTGTAAAATTCTGCCATGCATGAGAAAATCAGTATAATCCTTCACAGCACACAGGGGTTCCTGCTAGACAAGTGGAGATGAACAAGTTTCTCTTAATCTAAAGTTTCGAAAAGAATTAGACATGAGAATATCTGAAAAAATAAACTTCTCCAGTTATAGCAATCAAGCTATATACATGAATGATGCCTATTTGAATAACACCTATAATGTAGTAGTAACCATGTATATCATAGGTACTACCACTTGTGGCTAAATAGAAAAATACTCAAGTATTGCTGTGTGTATGTGCAAATGCTGATTATACATCTTGATATTTAAAAAGGAATCACAGCATTTAAAAAAATCATAGATTCATTCAAATGTAGAATTTCTTCAAAGTTGATTTGCTGTTGGTAGGCAAATTTAATTAGGGTATGTTTGAAGCCAGAATATGTGAGTGAATGTGTATTGAATCAATCAAAAGATAATAGCATGTATACTAGTACTGTCCCATTGAGGTCAGTGTCAACACACTTGTGTAAAGTCATTACCTTTCTTCTTACCATGGTAGGCATGCCATGAATGGAGCCAGCTGGAGCTGGGGGTCAGACTAGATAGCCAGGGAGATCCCTTCTGACTCGATCTGTTTCTCCCCTGCCTCCCTCCCCCAGTTCCTGTGCCAAAGTAGAATAAAACAATATCCAAGAATGATATTGAGCCCTATCTTATGTCACAGGAGCCTGCGTCCATTAGTAGAAAGGGGCTTCTGTTTCCCTTTTCCACATAGTACTTATTTGTCTGCACCATTGGCTGCAGAACAGGTGGGGTCATACAAGGAGTTGCAGAGGAGAGGAGGATCTATTCCACTGGTGATTTCCATTCTGCTGCTGAATGGGCAATACTGGTTACAGCTTGTTATGTTTAGGTAGTTTTTCACTGAATACATGTGTACAAAAAAAATTTTTTTACTGATGTATACTAATATCTGAGGTCAATGTCGCATTTAAGTAAGAAAACTCTGTCTGATACTCATGCAGGAATTCATGATATTCTCAATTTCCAGTCTCCAATCAAGCTTCCTGATGCATTTACTACCAGAAAAGTAGTTAATCTAGCAAATGTTGCTATTTAAGAAATTTCACTTAACATGAGTCCTTACCACTTCTGCTTGAACAAATTATACTTCAACTACTCAGTAACAGTGTTTATCTTCACCTTCCACTTATTCCTCACCCTGATTCTATAGTATGAATGATACATGTTCAATACCTGATACAGTAAAGTGGATGATAGAAAAGTGGCATTTGTTAAGTAGTGGAACAGAATGAAAATGAATTGCCAGACATGACTGTGTTAAACAGCTCTATATACATTGCTTACATCTGTACACATATTGCCTGGGGAGCAATATGTCCAGATGGACTCCCCCTGAGGCGGTAAGTTGCACATAAAGACCTGCATTAATAGGCAACTCTCTCCCACAGTAGAAGGGAAAGTAAGGACATGTTGGCGGGGGATTGCATATAACAGCATGTTACAAGAGCAAACATAACTTTAAAGTGTTCTTACAGAACAAATGTTCCTTTTGTCCATCATTGAAGGCACTGCCCTTTGTGAATTTCATTATAAGTCAGAACTGTAACCATGCTCACACACATTGCTTGCACTGTGGGTGCTGCTTTCCCACTGCAACTTCCCACACTTCTGCAGCATGTGTGTGAATACTTGTACCTTTGGGATGAGATCTGTAATGTGAGTTCTTCCTGCTTGAATATTACTTAGAAGAGAACAGTTGGGGAGGACCCCAAGGGATATGCACTGTCTATGTAGTTTTTATTCAAACATGTCCTTGAGTAGTGTTGGATTTTATTACATACATACATCATGTATGTGAGTGGGATCAAACTTGAAGCATCTCAAACCTGGAAAAAAGGACATGGAGGCCAGTGTTCATAGATACAAGATGTTTCTGAAAGTAATGGCAAAAAATAACTATCAGTGGCTATATGCATCTCCCTTGGGTTTTTACTTGTGTTTATTAAATCAACCTGAGACTTGCTTTAGTTCTCCCAACCTAATTGTGCAAATTCCAAGCGAGTAATAATTTCCAGAGTAGTAGCCATGATAAACCCACAGTCTGGTGACACCTGAAAAACTAACATACTGGTAGGAGATTAGCACTGATTTTCACATGATCATTGTAAAAATTTTACATATATTTAAGCTTTAACATAACCATAACATTTTTTTTCTCTTTGCATCATATTTCCTCTTGACTTTGCTGCTTTACGCTCTAACTCAGCTTTAGAGAGTATGTCTGTGTATTATAGAAAACCATCACCTGTTTGATGGTTGGCTATAAACTGCAAAAGATGATGTTGTAATGACTATGTTAGTTTTTAAAAGTGCTGCAAGACTTTTTCTTTTTTTAAAAAATGGAGTTTCAGTACATTACAGAAATTTATTTGTGTATATCCATATTTCTGACTGTAAGTGAAAATTAAAAATAGTCAAGTATAGGGTGAATTTTAAATCTAATTTAAATCACAAATTAAATCACTAGTCAGATGTGATTTAAGTTATGGGTTTCTACATAATTTGCATGCATACCTGCCTTACTCATAGGTAAAAGAACTTCATTAAAATATTTCCATGCTGGATCTCTTTTACAACCTGCTGCCATTATAAGTTTTCTTCTCCAGGGAAATAATAATATGATGAACCTTTGGCTATACACAGAAAGACCCAAAGGCTTGTGGAGTATTCTGCTCAAAAGGTTTTGCTTTCATTTTTGCTGCTTGCCCCTCCCTCCTCACACTTAGCTTCTTGTGCAGACCTATTCCACTCCAACAATCTTCTATTCATTAATTTTTTTAAACTTAGCACTTAAGACGTAAGGAGTTGATTCTGTGTACTTAGATTTGCAAAGGAACAATGGGATTAAGGTCTTTTTTCTCTGTATGTCTATTTTATAACATTTTTGCTATGAAGAAGCATGTGATCTCTGCAGTCACAAATTCACGGTTTCAAGATCTGTAAAACCAAGCATCTGTGATAATATCTTCTAGACAGAAAAATTGCTGTATAACTTTACAGAAATATCTGGAAGAGCATGACATTGTGAATGGATTAATGGAATTCCCTTGCCAAAAAATTTAAACGTTGCACAGCCTCATGCTACATAAGTAAAAACTAATCCCTATTTCATTATGAATAACTTTTGGACTATAATATATTTTAAATAGAAATGTATTTTTAGATATTTCCTCAGAAAGCATTTTATTTAAAAAATCCAATTTAAATTAAATTTTTAAATTAAATTCTGGTCTAAATTTTAAAAATTCATTTTTTATTTTAAAAACATTGATTGCTATCTGCCCTGGGTCAAATGGGATTCTCATGATATCTGAGTGTGTACTCATTTTAAGATTATTTTGATACTAAGGACCAGTACTTTATAGCTTGCCTTTTTTTCTTGTGAGAAACCAAAGGCAGCTTACATAGCTTTATTTTATCTGATTGGTGATGATGCTGCACTATTGGAATCCTTTCTGCTTTGGCCATAGCTAGAAAAATAGACTGTGTGATCAAAGTAAGTAACCTGGCAGTGGTTTAGTTGGGGAAATCATGTGATTGCTTCAAATTCCAACATCACTTCTTCCACTGGTGATTATGCTGGGAATAACTAGATTAGTTGCTCAATCCATGATGATGCCCACCTTGGACATTATCAGATCCATGTGGGATGCAGTCAGCAGGAAGTAGGAGCTCTGATAATGTATTAGTCAGGACAAGGTCTTGTTGAATAAAATACAAACATTTCCTGAAAATTGTGACTGCTATTTTGTATTTACCAAGTGTTCTTTGTACACTTCCAATTTCAACAGCTTTTTGCAGGGGTAGAAAAGAATATGTTGCCCCCTCCAGTACTTATTTTCACTGGTATGATATTAACTTGTATGCATATATCTGGGCTGGTAAGGCCAAATGGTTGAGAAAGAGGACACTTCTGTTGTTCTTCACATAAATATCGTAGTATAACTGCTAAGATATCCAGTGGGCATTAAATGTATTCCCATAAGCTAACAACTTTGTGTGTGGATTTCTAAAATAATTATTTGAAAAGGTTTAGCCTAGCTCCATTTGATAACATAGATGAAAGCTATGGTGCATGGCCTTTTCCCATTTATGTTCTGCCTTGTACAGAAGGGAAAATGCATTTGGGAACTTGCTGCCGAAAGGGTCAAATCATCCCTGGGATTTATTCCTCAAGAGAAAAAGGCTAACTGTATAAATAATAACAGGAGTGGTCAGTGAAAGTAAAGCACAGAACATCCACAGTGGAGCAGCAACACATTCTGTAGCATATTTGTAAGAAACTTTGCACCTGGGAATTGTGTGCTGTTCTTTAAGACCTATAGAAACATCCAAGCTCTTGATTAACCAAATTTGTTTACTCTTCAGCTCTATTATTTTCTCTTGTATTACTGTGTGAATACAGGCAGTCCCTGGGCTACAAACAACTAGCCTTCCTGAGGAAATGGAAATTCATCTTGTAAGTTGAATTTGTATGCGATCACGTATAGTTGGCACTCCACATTCAGGAGGGTTAGGTGTGCAGGACCCTTGTAAAAATAGGAAAACTGCAAATATCTCTAGACACCCCACCCCCCAAACTTACCAGTGCCTCCTCTTTGCAGCAAGGAAATGCCAGAGAGATTTCCCTGTTCAGACAGGCTGCCAGGAAGGCATGCTTTGGAGGCCTCCCTCTCTGCCCTTTTGCTTCCTCTCTATCTATGGTGATGATGATTTTCTGCAGTCATTTTTTAAATTAAAAGGCTTTATAGCAGTTTGTAAATACAGGTTGTTTGTAACTTTGACATTCATAATTCAGGGACTGCCTGTAACTTAATATCTGAAGAAAGTTCACAGGATAAGTTAATGTGAAGGTGTGACACATTGGCCATAGAATACTTTTTTAATATTACTGTATAACTTGATGAATAAATATAAAGAACATGTTCATTGATTTTTTTTAATGTGCTGTTTAGTGAAACTAGAGAAAATCTTAAAACTTGGAACCTGTCTTTTGAGAACAAGGATTCCTCATAATGTTTATATGAAGGTGTCTAGTCCACAGGGCAGCAAAGATACACAGAAACCTTCTTTTCCTGCCATTATTCCTCATGAGGAAACTGAAGAGGTACAACCACAAGCTCTTAAATACAGTATTGTTGAAAGAAATGCATTGGTGTCTTCATCTTCCACCTTGTAATGCAGCCTGATGCCCTCTGGATGTACTGGACAAATCCCATCATCCTCAACTATTGGCCGCATTGTCCAGGATTTATGAGAGCGTTTACCTTAAGCATCTGGAAAGTGCCAGTTTGTTTACCGCTATTTAAAGGACCAAATTAAAGAGATCTTTCTTAACTTCTTTTTGGAAAGCTGAGAGCAGGGACTAATCTTTGCTCTGAATGGGGCGCATCCCACAGTTTGGAAGTCCTTTCATGTCTACTCAACAAATGCACTCCTGTAAGCAGGTGTATCCTGAAAAGGGATTCTCCTGAAGTTCTTAATAACCAGATAGGTTCATAACAATACAGTTAATCCCTCAACTAGCCAGGTTCTAAGCTGCTTGAAGCAGGTGTGCATAACCTTTTTGGCCCTAAGGTAAACATGCAGTGCTAGTTTAGGAAGTAGCTGCACACATGTGTTTGCACATGCATTATTCTGATATAGATTGCTTTTTCATTACTGCTAGCATGGAAGGGGAAACATTGATCTGTATAAAGATCTCTGAGGAGAAGAACTAAAGATTATAGGCAGGGGGAATTTAGAGGTAGTGGGAGGGCCAGAGCACTGTTGAGGAACCATATTGAGACCTTGGAGGGAGTACCCTCTTACTTTAAAGGTTAAGACAAGCATCTTAAACTAAATGCAGAAAACAAATGATAACCAGTGCACTTTTTCCATATAGAACTGACGTGGTCACAGTACTGTGCACCAGTTAGCAGACCAGCTGCTGCAGTTCACACCAGTTGTATTGTACTTGCTGCTGCTTCATCTGGTTTGTTGTTTTTAAACTTACACCTAACTGAATATTTTTGCATTGTAAGCTACCTTGTGAAAATGTTGATCTTGAAAGGCAGCTAAGAAATTAATTGATGAAATTAAGTACATAATTGAAGCAATGTTCAAATGCCTTGCCTGTTATGGAAATTTACTCTGTTGCTGTGTTAAGTAGTTTCTTTGAAATACTATCTGTATGGTTAGCGCTTCACAGAACTGCATTCCTTGCTTAGATGCATCAGATAAAACATATACTACATTTTTTTATTGTGAAAATCTGGGTAAAGAGAGATAGGATGGGGATACCTAAAACGCACTGTACAGAGAACATGTGGTTTCTCATTATTTATCCAAAGTAATATGTACTAAACAGGTCTAAATTTTCAGTTTATTTTGGTATTTCTTTAATATTTAACATTGCATTAGGAACTCTGATAACTAGCGCTCTCTCTTTCTCCCTCTTTCTCTCTCTCTCCGCACACACACAGACACACACTTTTGAAAGGAATCTATTGCCTTTTCCAACTACCATAATGAGAAATACTACTATTTTCTCTATTACAGTAGTGATGCTGGTGAGCTCCTCTAGCTGTTGTTTGACTCCACCTGCTGGTAAATGCTCATAGTACTGGAAATATCTGAGACCTCAATTGGATGGGTTGAAAAATAATAAAATGGAATGAAAGTTTGATTAGAAAGGAACATGATTTAAACTGGTACATATGAATGCTTTAGTATCCAGTGGATCCTGCCCAGTTAATTCATGGTAACTCCTGTAGAAACTAAAAGAAACTGGTTAGCTTGTATAATTTAGGACCCCTTACTTGTATTCATATTGCATGTTGCATATCATATGTATTTTTCCCCAAATAATCTTCTAAACAAAGTCAGAATATATGTTCAATTGGCAGTAATAGTTGTTATTACTTTGCAAAAGCTAGAATTCCATTTGGGTTTATAAGGGAATACATTTTTTCTGGCTGTTTGCAGCTACTAAGTCCTTGTGAAAAAAATGAAAATTCTGTACCAGTATGCCCTCTTAAATCTTTGATTAATGCCTTTGGAGATACCCACTTCCTTGTGAAAGAACACAGATGTCTGTAGTGCAGCTGGCCGTTAAACGCTTTGCATGTGTATCTTGCTTAAAGTCTTCTGTCCATGATGAAGTACCATGAAATCAGTCTGAAAGCTGAATGCTGAGGAATTAGATTAATTTAATAGCATGGAATGAAGGGACAGTTATGCTGTGATTTAAGAATAGTTATAGCTTATGTATTCTGAGGAATTTATTGTGATGTTAACTTGAAGGAGCTACTGGGTTTGCAGCATTTCTGTACATCTATAATCCAGACTTTTATTTTAAAAAATGGAAGGATAATTTATTTATTTAAAAATTCTGTGCAATCTATATTTCCATAGAAAATATCTAGAAGGTTTGCAAATAATAAAAACATCAAAACAATTTTCAGTACTTGATTAAAATTTAATTAAATCTAGATCTATATGGTCTAGTGCCAGAAAGAATAAAGAGTGGGCACCAGATGAACCTCTCTGGGGAGCATATTCCACAATCGAGGCACCACTACTGAGAAGGCTGTGAACTTTCTCTACTTTTTATTGTTTGAATATAGCCAGTGATATGGGTTCCAGGAAGCTTTCTGAAGCCCTGCATTAATTCACATTGATTGCCATGTTGTTTGATTTACTTATAGTGAACAAAACAAAAAGTGACCCATATTAATTTTATGTGCTACACAAATCTTTCTAATGTTTTTCAGTAGGTGATATGTGAGGGATTGCTGAAAAGTTTGTAAAGCACATTTTCAGCATAATTCTATACGAACCAAGTCAAAAGTAAGCCCTATTTATTTCAATGGGATTTGTTTCTGGAAAAGTATGCACGGCTAAATGTAGTTTAAGATTCTCATTCAACTTACAGGTCATCACCCACAAATGACTCCCATGTATTCAGTACTGTCAGTAGAGTTTGGGAGTGTGCCTTTCCCAAGGTACTTCTAGTTTAGCTGTAAACCCCAAACCTGAATTTCCAGTGGCAAATCCCAAGGTACTATTGTCTCAAAATGTGAGTCTGTCTTCAGTTTCTGAATACAAAAGTAATTACTGCTGCGGTTAATACAAAAGCTGCTTAGCTGTTAACTGAACTTCATCTGAAGTCTCAGGATGAATAGCAAGCAGGTGAACAGCACCACCAGATTTGCTTTTTGTTGCAAACAGTAACATAGTCAAAATTGCATTCACTTCTACAGTCAACATTTCTAAGCCACCCAACCCATTATCTTCCATGTGTTTCCTATTATTCAAAGTCAGAACTGGCCTTTGTTATAACTATCTCAAAGGATACCTTTAAGAGTAGAAATCTGATAGTACTTGGAAACTAATAATCCGATTCAAATGTTGCTGGTGCAGGGAGAACTTGTGCTGATCTGTATCCAGAAGTAAAGGCCTCCTATGAAAGACTGCTCTTCCCTTGTGTAAAAAGTCAGGTTGCTTACAAGAGGAATGCTACAGCTCAGATCTATAGTAATGCAAGGGATTGTACATTTGCCAAAGAGAAGCTGATATTCAGAAAAGCATTGTTTGGGTTCTTGTCTCAAACAGTGATCTAGCAGTGCCAGCATGTGGGGCAGTGGTATGGCCAGTAATGGATTAAGGGACTCCTCTGTCAGTGTTGTGTATTAACCTATAAATCTGCAGTTTAATATGCAGTCACTTGAGGAACTGGGAGTAATAAGGCATAAGGTGTTAAAGGCCCCCCTCTTCCTCTCTTTGCCCTCCCTGTCATTGCTTGTCCCTCACTTCATCCCCACTGCATCATCCATCTGCCTGCCACTCCTTATGCCTTCCACAGCTGTTTGCGCCCTTCTCTAGCTACTGGCACCACCAGATGCCTGGCTTTGATTGGCTCCTTATTCTGAGCCAGGCATTGTTGAGAATTGTCCAGACGATTGCCTGTGCAGGAGTTTGTCTCCCAAAATATCTCTTGTCTTGAGCAGCCTGTCTTCCTTGCACATGGTGGTCATGATCTAGGTTAGTATCCCTAGAGAAAGGAGGACAGGGTCAGTCTATGCTATGCATTTAATGCCATGTATAGTTTGATAATGAGTATACTGGAATTTTTCTTCTTTAAGAAATTCATTAAATTCCTTTAAAAATCCCACCACAAATTAGTGTAATTTAAAAGTCTGTAAAAATCTTTGTAGTCTTATCAATGCTACTGATATTTCATATTTCTATGAATGTTGTATAATATTGGTGCCTATTTTATTTCTGATAGCCACTTATCTCTTTGAAGTTACTCCAGAGTGTTCAGAAAATGACTGAAGGATAAGATCCAGCATCTGAAAAAGCAAAACACATAGCTCATCAGTTCTCAGAATTCTCTAAATCTGTGATATTGACATCATTGTGTTAATGATTTCAAGCCAGTAATTGTTTAAGCAACAATACTTAGGAAAATGGTTTTTTTTTTTTTAAAGTGAAACAGACCTGCAGAAATTATAGTTTGTTTTTATTGACTCCATTTGGGACAGCTGTATCATTACAATAAATAGTAATGGCTTGTTTTTAGAAAACAGGCATTTTAATATCTAGGTCTAGAAAATATTTGGTAAGTATTCCTCTGTGGATAGAACACAAATTCTGTTTCAGTCCTTCTATATCCATCCTTATGCAATAATCTTGCATTTTCACACAAAGCATTTTTACAGCCACAAACCTTGTCCTAACACATCATCTGTCAGAGCTTTAGAAAATGACCTGTTGCAAGTCAGTCTTTTTTTTAACATACTGTGTATGTGTGGATTGTTCTATAGCATGGGTCCTCAGACTAGGGCCCACGGGCTGGATCTAGCCCGCCATGCCCATTCATCCGGCCCACCATAGCTCGTCACGCGTGCAGCGAGGTGCCAGCTTGCTCGCAAGGAGATCGTTTTGGACTCGCTCGGAGAAAAGGATCTCCCAGCAAGGCGCCGGCTTGCTCGCAGGGAGATCGTTTTGGACTCGGGAGAAAATGATCTCTGCGCATGCATGCCCCTACCTTTCTGTGTGCGCATGTGCGCACCCCCCACCCCAGCCCACACCGCCTTGGCATCCCGCGCCCATCACTGACACCTTTCAACTGGCCCCCTATTCATAAAGTTTGAGGACCTGTTCTGTAGGAAGAGATCTGCTTCAACTGGACAGGTTATTTTTTATTATGCTTTCTTCACATAGAGTATGGCCACATAGAGTGAGAATATAGACTCACTTTTGTGCTCCACTTCTTGCTGCCAGAGGAAGTGGTGATAGCCACCCATCTGGATGGATTTAAAAGGGATTGGACAGATTTATTAAGGAGGAGGCTATCATTGGCTACTGGCCTTGCGGGCCATGTGCTGCCTCCCTACCAGAAGTGGCATGCCTGCATGCATCATTTGCTTAGGAGCTTGGGCAGGAGGAGGTCTTGCACCCATGGGCACCCCTGTGGGCAGTTGATTTGCCACCATGAATACTGAGTGCTGGACTAGATGGAACTTTGATCTGATCCGACATGCTTTTCTTATGTTCTCCAATGCTTTATTTCCTGAGTGTTCAGTATAGTTGTGCATCTCCTTTATTCTCACTCCATTTTCATAACTCTTTGTTATCACTGTACACTTACAAACTTAAATGCCATTAAAATTACTGTTAGTAAAATGTACGTTTACGACACCAAGATGTTCATGACAGTACATTGTACTTTATTCCTGGTAGTTAGGCAGTTCTGAGTCCAGTTATTTTCAGTGAAAAGGATCTAAGGAGGTCTTAAGTTCACAATTGAAAATAATGATATCTGAAAGCATTTAATTTTGGATCATTTTTGGGAAGTGCTGGGAAGGAAAGAAATATTGTAGAAATACAAAGACTGCTGTCCTGTGTGCTATTACCTATGAATAAGATTTACTGCAGTCAGTGGGACTTAGCTACACCTTTCCATCTTCACAATCCTTAGCAAAATCTTATAGGGCAGGCCAGTATTGTTATTACTCTATTACTGATGAGAGACTAGTGCTTAAAGCCACTCAGCAGGTTTGTATCTTAATCAGTCTTTAAGCTGAAACATTTTGCCCATGTTTTTATTTAAACCAAAGAACTATGAAAGGATCCTTCCAGATTTTATTATGATACAATGTAACAGCAGATCGAACTCAGCTTGAGCAAATTTAAAATGATGCTCACAAAGACAAGCATTCCCTGTTTCACATACATCGTGACAAGTGTCCTGATTGGTTGAAACGGCTGATGAAAGGAGATTCTGGTGCTGTAGTAAAGCTTGTTGGCGTCACCTCTTTATTGGACTGTGGCAGTGAGAAAACAAGGGAGAAGGCAAAAGAGAAGACGTGAAAGGGTATATAGCAGTGATGGCAAACCTATGGCATGTGTGCCCAAAGGGGCAGGCAGAGCCCTCTGTTGGCATGGGACCACACCAGCAGCCATGCGCATATTCGGAAAAATTAAGGGCACCAGGCAACTCCAGCACTCATTAGCCGCAACTCACCAAGCTTTTGCATGGCCGGTCAGTGAGCTGCCAGGGATTTGCATGGACTGTAATTTTAGCAGGATGCAGGTGGTGCAGTGGTTTAAACTGCTGTGCTACTGGACCGGTTGATGGAAAGGTCACCGGTTCGAGTCTGCACAACCCGTTGTGATTTTAGCAAAAGGTAGGAAATACACTCAGACTCCTTTTTCAGGGCTGGCGAAAAGCTGGTGGTCAGTGGAACATTGCTCCCTTGTGCTGGTGGTCAGCAAACTCAGGTTTTATTGCAGTGTTGGCACTTTGCGATAAATAAGTGGATTCTGAGTTGCAGTTTGGGCACTCGGTCTCTCAAAGGTTCTCCATTACTGGTATATAGCAAGCGTTATCAAGCATTGCTTAAGAAGTTTGAGTTACTTAGTTCAGGAAAAAGATAGCTATCATTTAAAAAAATATTTTGACAGTAAATTTTCTCTTCAGGAAATGATTGGTCGTAGAGCTTGGGCAAATGAAAAAAAGTAATGCTTTATTCAATGATATGCACAGAATGATGGGATTCATTCCTGAAAGATGCAGCAACAGGAGTAGAACATGTTCCTTGTTCTTTTTCCTTGCTTTATAGGTTCATTTTTTTTCCTTTGAGAAGAAGTTCAGAAATGGTGGCTGGTAGATTGAATGTACATTGCAATGGAATTCTTGCCAATTCAGATCTAGTCAGCTGTTCCAGACCCAGAATAATATTTGGCCTACATAAGCATTTTTAATGAAAAGCATTATTGAGGGTTTTTCCTGGCATAAGCCTGTTCTAAGACTTGACCTCTCTGGGGGCTGCAGAGCCTTGTCTGTTAGTAGGAGAAAGTGTTGAGGAATGCATATTCAGTAACACAATGGTAAATTGCTTGTTGACTTAAAAAATAAAATCTAACCTTTATTTGAAGGGCCTTTGTGCATCCAAAAAGGGGTCTCCTCAAGTACAGTGATCCTGCATAGTGATACTTTTTACAAAGTAAAAGCTGTATTTTCTTTCTTTTTTTAAATGTGTAATAGCCACCAGTTCTCTTTTTTTGCAGGTGCTTCTTTAGGGCAGATTTTTTTTCTGACAGTCACAGGCCACTTTAATCTGAATAATTTGCAGCTCCAACATGCACTGTCAGGTTTTCATAACCAAGTATCTCACATTGGGATATACAGCAAGTGTGTTGGTGATGATCACACCATGTGCCACAGAGCTTTTTAAGATTCCTGTTTGTAATAAGCTGGCACCTATCTATATTCACTCTACAGAGTTCACAGGGAAATGTGCCTTTCAGTTAGTGCAGTGTTGCTGAAGATGTTGCAATCTTTCTTTTTTAAGATTTATTTGACAACACAGGACACTTTTCAACAGGTCAGTGTTGACCAGTAAGACAGTCTGCTAGTGGGAACTGTGGTCATCTCTGCAGGGCCGTTTGAGGGAGCAAGACTGCTTATGCTCTGCAACTTCCAAGCATGCATGCAGTTGCTGACTGGCTAGTGACTTCAAATATGCACTGCTGACATCTGTGGGGGTGCTGTGTAGTCTGCATGCATGTGCTTTCTCATTGTTGCCACAGACAGCCCCTGCCTCTGCTGCTGCTTCCTGACAGTGCCTAGAAAGACATGCTCCCCACTTAGCTTCTGAGCACCTCACAGCTGGTCTGAGGCTTGAGGATGCTCGCTTGCCTGTTTGCCCCTGCTGTCTAAAAATAGCCTCTACATGAGCAGGCAGGGAACCACTACAGTTTGAAGGAGATGGTGCTCTTTTTGCCCCCTGAGAAATTAGGTGCGTGGTGGGAGGCAGACTGGCAGCTTTTGTGTGCTTGAACACATTGGAACTCTATTTTAAATAGTTCATAAAAGCTACAGTCCACAAATTTTGTTTACTCAGTTATCTGTCTCACTTCATTTTAGAAGTTCTAAAAGAGAACCATCTTGTGTAAAAATTTTCTAGCATGATGGCAGAACATTCTTACCCTATTTGTACTGCTGTTTTTAAGCTTTACTGAAACTTGCTTACTATAAATGTAAACATTATCATATTTTTCCTGATTCTGAATCAAGACTGTGCACTTGCACTATGTTTTGCATCATACTCCTTGCTGTGAAAAAATGCTAAATATGTTGAATTTGCCCATTTTTAAAAATCCTGGATCCTGAGTTACCCAGACAAATGAAACCAGGCATATATTTAAGTGGCTGTTTTGTTCATGGTTACACAATTTAAAAAATCTTAAATGATTCTGCAAATAACTCTGAATCGTCAGAATTTTCATCAACAGACATCACTCCAAGTTGTCTTACCAACATGAAAAGGGGAAGACTGTTATAGACTGTTTTTGTTTTTTCTCTCCAGATGTTTCCTCCAAGACACACATGTACCATTTTTATTATATTTAGGTAAAAGAAGGAACCAAATAGAACAGACATTAAAAGTATTCTTATTTGTCTTCTGTGCAGGGTTTGTCATTGAATGTCTGTATCGAGAGGTTTAAACAAAACATATTGTCCTTTTTTAAAAAAAATATGGAGAGAGAAACAACCTCCCTCACCTAAATGATAACCATCAAAATACTTTAACAACAATAATAGAAATCGAAAGAAGTTTTAAACTGTATGTTGCTGTTTTTGAGTATTTATTTGTAGCATAGGAAGGAACTAACTTATCTTCTGCCTACCAAAGCCATCAGCTAAATCCATCACTGACTTGAATGGAAAAAAAAAAGACTGGACCTATAAAGATGATCTGGGATTGGCTCTTTAACCTGTTTATTAGGAACCTTGTCTGAAAACAGAGTATCTTAGTGGTCTGCAACTGTATTAGCCATATATTTTTAGTAGGCTTTGAAAAGAAATCCAAGTATCAATACTTACTCCTTCCACCATTAGATACCACTTGTCTCTTCTGTTAATACTGTGTAACATGTAGTACAGTTGGCTTTATCAGTTAACCATTCAATACTATTCATTACAATATTAACTCACTCATATACATGTCCCATTTTCCTTCCTGTATTTTACTTATCCTAATAACTGCTTTTCACTTGATAATCTGTAGTTCAACATGAATATTGAATTCAAAATAAATCAGGTGTGAAGTATGCAGTTATGTGAGCCGTTGTGTGAAACTAACCACACTAACAGACTGTGATTTGTTAACCAAAACTATCCTACCTAACAGCAAACCATGGATTCTCTTTATGAATTGTTCATGGTTAACAAGCCACAGTTTGTTAGTGTGGTTCACAAAACCACACTAAAACCCACATTACAGCAATAGCCCATGAAACAGTGATAATCCATACTTACTCATACTTTCAATGCTGTGTGTGTGTGTGTGAGAGAGAGAGAGAGAGAGGGAGGGAGGGAGGGAGGGAGGGTCTGTAGTTTAAACAGTTTAAACAGAAATACAATCAACATGCCAAACAATGACAAGGTGACTTGTATGCCTCCATATTCTGTGGTCCAGATGCTAACTGTTGATGAGCAACTATGAGAATTCTGCTCTTCTTTCTTATGGTTCTTTATCTTTAAACTGAAATTGACTGAGGTAGCCTTTCAAATAGAAAAGGGTCCTCTCTAAAGTAAATGACCATCCTGGAGTTAGTACATGCAGCCTCAGAGGAGTTCTCAGTGGCTGAGCTCAAACCTCCTGCTGACTTCCTCTGGTGGTTGCATATGGGTGAGGGATCAGATGGAAACCCATGATCATGAGCAGAGGAGGAACAATAGTTTTGCTGCACTGTCTTTTGGGAGCTCCCAAGGAAGGACTGGAACCACTTTCAGACTATGTCTCTCAAACCCAGTTCAGGTTAATGCTCTAGAAGGATACTATGGTCTCAGTGTTGAGAGCCACTGAGAGGTCCATTCAAAACCAATAGGGTTGCATTCCCCCCATTCGTTCCCTGTGGGTCATCTACTAGAGTGACAAAGGCTGGTTTTGTCCCTTAATTGGCCCTGAAACCTGTTGAGTAATATTCAGTCCGAACCAATGCCACTGGAAGCTGTTAGTTGTAGAACTAGCCCATGCTCCAGCACCTTTCCACAGAATTATGCCACATATATACAATAAACAATCAAAATGAATTGTAGTCTCATTCACATTTGTCACTGTATAGCATATAAAGCAGTCTTGGGACTGGTATGCATTTTAAATTTGCAGTTGCCGCTGTGCACAGTCACATCTTTATTTGGTGTGTTTACTGCAGTATTCCCACTGTGAAAGTACAATGCTGCTTCTTTTCAAGTTGAATGTCTCTTCAGCATTGGGAACTACTGCCAGAAAAACAACAGATGAAGCTTTTGCAACTTTTTTTTTCAAAATAACATTTCTGTATTTTCTATTAAAGCAATATACAAGCAGCTGAAAACATACAGTATATTTAGAAAAAATAAAAGACTGACTTGGGCTGGATGTGTGGTCCTTTTCCCTGGGTCTTACTCTGTGTACAGCAGACTTCCCCAAATGTGGTACCTCCAGAAGCTTTGGACTTCAACTAGCAGGGCAGGATATCAGCCCCAGTCAGCATGGCAACAGCCAAGAATTCTGTAGTTTAAAACATCTGGAGAGCACCAGGTCAGGTAAAGCTAAAATACAGTTTGTATAACTTGACTTTTCTTGCTTGCTTTGGTAAATCATGAAATTTAAGGAAGCATAGAAGAAGAGGGCAAATGAGAGATGGCTGGAACACAGTAAATGGATTTTTAATACCTAATAGTTGTGAATGTATATTTGCATAACAGTTAATATTGGGGAACCATTTGTATTGGGTTGAGCAAGCTTGTGCAAGTACACGCATATGCTTCATAATTGAATTGTCTCAGGAGACTGTTGTTTTAGTTGGCAGCAGAGCTTACTAAAACCAAAGCTTGTCTGCTGGTAAGATTACAGCCTAATGGGATTGGGGACAGGGGGAATACTGAAATATGGAGTGTTACTGTGTAAAGAAACTAGATAGTTACTAGAGAAAAGTTGGATTAAATGTGGTTCTAATTTATTGTATTGGTCCGAAGTCTTTCAGAACTTGGGAATAATATGCTTTATAAAACAAATTTCTGGATCACCTTTTAAAAAAATACCTGACTTAGCTCTTCTGAAAAGACTGGAAATTTTGTTCTTAATAGGATTAGTATTATTAGTCATTAGATTTTAGTCTATCCAGTTGATTCCATAAAACTAACAGCAAACCGTAGAAACAGCAAGTAGAGAAAATAAGTATCAAAAATGCGACAGCCATAAAACATAACAGCACAGACACCAGGTGAACCTCCTGGGGTTCCAAGAGAATGCCACAAGTGAGGACACTCACCTTCTTGAAGGTAACCTAAGGCTACAAGAAGGTACATATGGGAGGAGAAGTTCCTTCAGAAAAATGGACTGCTTGCATGACATGACTGAGTGGCGAAGCTGCAGTACATGAAAGACACATGCTACCACCATTTTGAGTTGCTATCCCCACTCACCACTGATGTGGTGCCATGCAAACAGAGCGAATATAGCTTATGTGGGGCTAAATCCCTGCATCCTCTTCATTTGATTTTTAGCCCACCCCATTATCCACATGGCTCCCTGGCCAGGTTACAGACAATAACAGCATGTAAAAAACTATGAAACATTTTTAAAACACAATACCAGACACTTAATAAACAATAAATAACAATAAAAAGCACACACATCTTAACAAAATCAAGGATTACATAAAAGGCATACCACATTCTATATTATACAGAACGTTAAAACCAGATTAACAATTAAAATTGTTAATTGAGATCAGCAACAGATGCCCTTCTCCAGGAACCCTCTGTGAATGATATTAGGAGGGTGAGTACCCGGAGGAGGGCTTTCTCTGCAGTGGCGCCCCATCTATGGAATGTGCTCCCCGGAGAGGTCCACCTGGCGCCGTCGTTATTTGTTTTTCGGCGCCAGGCTAAGACCTTCTTATTTAAAACTTATTTTAATTGTTAAATTATTTGCATTTATAGGATTTTAAATTCTTAGCCAAGATGCACCGGAGGTTTTTAAATATTTTTTTATTGTTATATTGTTATTTATTTATGTATTTTGTTTCTATTGTGAGCCACCCCGAGGCTTTGTTGCGATGGGGGCGGCATAAAAATGTTTTAAATGAATAAATATACCAGAAAAATTAAAAGGTATTTGCCCAGCACTGAAAAGAATATAAAGAGGGTGCCAGGTGAACTTCTCTGAAGAGCTCATTCCAAAGTTAGGGTGCCGCTCTTGAAAAGGCCCTTCTTGTCTCCACCCTTCTTGTTTCCTGAGGAGGGGGCACCTTCAGAAGGGAATGATCCATAGGTCTGTTTTAGGGTCATGCAAGGAATGTTTAGCCATGCTCTCCAGGTTCCATGACACAACTGCCACCATGTGGAGATTGCATACTCAAAATAGTGGCAGTACATGCTCTGCATACAGCTTGTTGTAAATGCATACACAAACTCAGTATGATAATTTATCTGATTAACAGACAAAAATCATGTACAGAGTATACTTCTGGGTCCTGGAAGTGGTACTCCCTTCAGTTATCCTCAAAAACAATGCATTGGGCTTTTAGAAGGGGAGAGCCACAAAACTTAGCTGGGAAACAACACTTTAAAAATCACTTCCTGTTAATCAGATGAATTTATTTAAAGTATTTATATGCCATCCTGTTGCGAAAGCCTCAGGATGGCTCACATAGATAAAATACAATAAAATATAACATAGATAAAATTATAAACCCACACTGGCTGCAATAAAACATATAAGTCATGATATTAAAACTTATTGAAATATTGCTGAAATAAAAAGGTCTTAACCTGGCGCCAAGAAACATATAGCAACGGCACCAGGCGAACCTCTCTGGGGAGCACATTCCATAGGCGGGGCACCACCGCAGAGAAAGCCCTCCTCTGGGTACTTGCCTAAGTGGGGGTTTCAGAAGACTCTGTTTTATTTTTTATTTTATTTTATTTTTTTTGTCTGCTGGCTGTCTCATGATCATGCATTGCTAACTATGAGATGAATTCTAGAAGTTTCAGCCCTGGTAGTTTACTATTTACTAGGTCTACTAGGTGGAGACACTTGGCCTCAAGATGACCAAAGCCAGGTCATCTGCATAGTCATGCCAGCAACCAGATTACTTGGCCTTTAGCAGACTGATTGAAAAAGGGAGGGTAAGAAGGATGGAGTGGGCCACTCTAGGCCAACAAATATAGTGTTAATTGAGTATCTTAACCTATGAACCAGCCCAAGTTTGGATGCCACAGAAAACCTACAAATCTGTGGGTTGTTATGAGAAATTGGATGTTAATTGCTTATAAAGTATGTTCCAGATACTCATGTTTTAATTAACCCACTGATGCATTTACATAGATTTATTTTATTCTCCTTAACAGCATTAACACTTGACACTGCATTGTTCAGATATAATACAATGTCCATCCATTACAATTTGTGAGTGAATTTGCACATGAATAAGCTGCCTTTGTTACATCCAGAGGAGCTATGGATTTACACTGTCAAATTTCAGGATTTCCACATGAAGAGTCATGGGTTTCTTATGCAAGGAAGTGGAGAAGGTATTTATACTAGTAGTTTGATTTTCTGAATAAAGTATTGAAATGTAATTGTGGGATTTTCTCCCTAATTTACATTTGTTGCACAACATGACTAATGAGTTCCCACTTTATTCAATCAAACCATTTGTATCTATATATTCTCCAGAGAATACTGATGGAGCAAATAGTCTACTTCCAAACCAACTCCTCAGATTTAAAAGGCAAAATGTTACTTCTCAGTCTCTTTTCTTGTAGAGGAGAAATATTTTATGCTTGCACAGTCACCAGAGAAGTCAAAATGCTTTTCATTTCTGCTCAAAATAATGAATAGTCAGGGACTATATATGATTCTCCCACAGGACTAGGCAAGGTCAAAAAGTTGGGATAGTAATCTTAAAGTCAATACCAAAATTCTTCATTATAATTAAGGAATAAGTAGAAGCTTAAAGGAGATCTCTGAAGCATTGCACTTCACATAACATAATGACCTACTGCTGAGTAGGTGATTCATTCAGGAGGCACTGGTGGAAAATTCTGACGCCCCAAGGCGTGGAGTAGCCTCAAAGCAATCTGCACAGTCATGAGATAACTAGACTCCTGTATTTCTTTTTTTCTCATAGGTGTTGCTGCTTACAATTTTTCCTTAGTGGTATACCATCAAAGTATACCACTAAGTACTTTTTGAACTTTAATTTTGGCACTGACAATCTCTAATGAGTTTTCTAAAATCCTGTTGTTAGTGCTATCCATTCTTAGAAAAAATATTTTTCCGCTTAATAACAAAGACTTACCAATGTTACCTGGAACTTGCTCTTTCCTGACAATATACAAAAAATAATAACAGGTTAGTCTTCATAGAGTTTCAGATGCAGAGCTCATTTTATGCTCAATTGGTGTTAGATATTAAAAAGCAAAAGGAGCAATTGCTGGAATTGCAGCAATTTAGAATGGGAAAAAACTGCACGAAAACTGGGAAACTACCAAGCAATTGGTGGTTGGAAAAAATAGGGCAGACAGCGGAAAATGGGCTGGAGCCCTCAGGATTTCACTCCTACGCCTGCAGTTCTGCATCCCTGTTTTAACCTAACCTACCTTACAATACAGTTGTGAGGATAAAATGAAAATAACAGTGCGAATGAGAGCTTCTTGGAAGCAAGAAAGGATATAAATTAAGGAAATAAATCTATTTCAAGATTACGGTGAAAATTAAATGTGGAAGGACTTTTTGTAAGAAATCAGAGAATTTGAGCATCCCCCTTGTTAGGGGGAGAGAAAAAGGCGATAGTACTACATGGCCACATATAGTACTATGTGCACATTGGTACAATATGAAGTTACTGATTTTTAAAAATTATTCTCCTTGTAGTACACAATGTTTCGGGCAACGATTTCCGTGCTAGGACAATATGCTGATTTTGGCTTTTGCAAGCCATAGGTCATGCACCCTGCCATGATAGCTAATATTGTGTGTTCATATATTTGCCAATCAAACAAGAATGAATAATGTTAACATTTTTTACAATGTCCTATTCTTCTTTAGAGTGCTGTTGTACCCATGCACAACTGAGCGTCTGAGTAGAAAACATATTTTTGCCTGCATGAAGTGGCCGATATATACACATTTTTGGGGTGCAGAGAAAGGGGAAACAAAATTGTCTGGAACACTATTATGGAACCTCATAATGCCACACACAACATCATAGGTTCATACACCTGCTTATGTTCCTGTGTGAGATACTTAGAAGAATTTAAAAAAATGAATTTGGGAGGAATGGAAATGTTTAGAAAGCAGCAGGGGAGCATTTCAAACTCCAAAGACACTTTGTAACCTGAAGGGCATGTTCCTATCACTCATACCCTTGATGAACATAGACTTCCAAACCTGAAGGCTTACCTGCATCCTGTGCCCTGACTGAGGAGTGGCAGTAGCAATTTCTGCTGGGGTCTGTGCCCTCACTTTCATCTAGATGGACATTTTTGGCTGTGTAGGTAAAGCGGGGAGGAGCTGAAATGTTGAAAGGGATCAGCAGAAGTGGTTGGCCTCAGCTGCCTCCTGTGGCTGCCCCTGCTTTTTCTGAAGAGGTCTCCAACACAGTTCTTTTGTCCTTCTGGGGAGGCTTGGCCTTCAGAATCCAAGTACTGAGATAAAATAGGCAATAGGATTGCTCCCCAAGATGGCCATGGCAGAACAAAAGAATTTCAAAGAGAGATCAGTATGAAATTGCTGAAGTGCACTTCATCAAGCAATTTAACATTTATTTCCTCTGGTTTGAATTATCATATGCAAATTGTCTCATCAGTGCAATTATCTCTGCATTATCACCCAACAGCATTTTATGGATGGCATCTGTTGCAGTGATCAGCACTGTCTGTACTTTTTGCATTTCAGTCCCCACCTATAACTGTAGCTTTCATCTTTCTTCCAGGCTACAGCATTGGTATTTAAATATGCAAATTTGAGGTTAACACTTCAGGCATCTAATTACCAATAAATGTGCAAGTCAAGTCCCATCCCGTGTAACTCTTGCTGCAGCTAACTAGCATGGCTATTCTTTTCTGAAAATCATATACATGGTGTTCTACACAGCAACTTAAACAAAAACAAGAGTTTTCTGTCCTGAAGAGCTTACAATCCCATTTATTTATTTATTATTTCATAATACTTCTATGCAGCCCCATAACCCAAAGGTTCTTTGAATTATTACTCCACCGCCTCACCTACCCAGATTACTCAGATTGTATCATTAAGAATATTAACTTTATAATGAACGTGTTCTTTAAAAAAAAGAAGGTTGCTTGAAAAAAGTGTCCATTTTTTATATAAGATTTACTTTAACAGCAACCCATAGGGGAAATAGAATATAACAGCCACTTTAACGGCAGGCATGCTTTTTTTTAAAAAAAAGTTCCAATTGGAGCCAATAAAAAACATCTGTTGTTTTATTTATAGCTCCCATTTCCAAGAAGTATATTCTATAGCAGATGAAAAAGTGGTTGACAGCTCATAATTTATAAAGTTACTAAAGCTTAATCTGATAGAACATCATGTACAAAACTCCTCCCTACCTCACAGACAATATTGCTTCTTTCTAAGAGAGGACAGCACGGTTTGCTATATGTTGACTTGAGAGTTGACATGCAATTTGCAGCACTTGTTATAATAATTAAAATTTAATAAAGAATTCCAGTGCCTCATTATTGCAAATTGCTGACTTAGAGCTAGCAACTCACTACTGGGGAGATGCATTTTACAAAGGATTGGTTCTGTCCCTGAGGTCAGGTTCATTTTCCACCTTGCCAGTATTTTGATTTGTATTAGATTTTCTTGCTTTGTTGTATTGGAGATGTATTTTAAGGGATATTTCTTTGTATATCACTGGTTAAAATATTTTGAAACCTGAGTAACAGTTTCTTCTGGAAATACCATTTACTTACTACTTACCAGAACTGCTCCCTTTGAAAGCTGAAACAGACAAGGAAATTAACAAAGCAAGAATACACATACTGGATAGCTGGAAGAACATGCTAGCACATGTAAACTACTGATGCAATAATTTTAAAAATATGATCCCAATTGTCCCAAGAAAAAAATGCTGGGGAATGGATGATGGTCCTGCCAAAGTGCTATTTCAGCACTGTTGAATGAATAGTTAATGGTGAAATTGCAACAAGCAAGCAGCTTTGGGGTTTTTTGCTTCTTTGCTGAGTGGTTCTGCAACTGTTGCCCACAGTCCATGACAAAGTGGCCCTGCTGATTTCAGATAAAACAAGACTAAGCCATGGGTTCCCAGGGGTGGTCTGTTCATTAAAAAAAAAGAACCAGCAGAAGCCACACTTGGTTCCAAATGTCACAACCACCCACCATGACTGGTTACCCACAGTTGTGTCATGCAAGCCACATACTTTTGTCCCAGAGAAAGCAGTCCCAGAGAAATCCCCATTGGAATTCTGGCCATATCCGCTGAGATCTCTTGGAGTCCCAGCAAGCTTTCATTGGTTTCTTGCACACGGTCTCTCTCCTTCGCTCTGAAAGAGTAAAACACTGTAAGCCCTCTCCAATCGAAAAGTACCTTGCTCTGTGAGACACTTTGGCAATGCAAGCCCTGCTGGCTACAGACAGGTTACAACTAGCGGCACTTGATGCATTTTTACGTTTTGGTATGAAAGCAACTGTGATGGAACGCTATTCCTGCAAAGCAGATACGGGATAATTATTACCCATACACCAAGGTCTCAATACACTTGTTATGCGAGAGAGGGTCTCTTAAAACCTAGGAGAAAAGTTAGAATTTAAATCGTAATATTAGACCATAGTCACCTTCTATATATCGTCTAGTAAATTAGTCCCTTTTTCATAGTGTATCATATTACATTTTAAAGGGCAGGTTAGGTTATAATTTTTGTTCTATCCACTTTCATGCTTCCTCTAGCAGTAATGAAAGGTTTGGCTCAGACACTTCAGGGCTAATCTTCCAGCTTTAACTTTCCATAGGCCTGTGCCAGGTAATAACTCTGAAAATCTCTTTTTACTGAGAACTCCTCCAAAAGGTGCAGCTGTGTGCCGGTTTCATCTTGCAGTTTGTAGCTATGTTGGCAGTACTTAGTTGCAAGGTATGTTGTCAGCTCCCACACGTTGCTGTTGCTAAATGCTGTTCAGGCCTGTCTGTATTAGTGAAAGGGAAGAGCACTTGGATTGGAGGGAATCCCAACTTGTGTTCCATCTGATTGGTTATCACAGTAGCAAGGTAAAAATAGAACCAGTGGAAAATCCAAGATTTCTGACATGTCATCAGAAGCCTACTTTAACCTGGCAGAAATGCTTAATGACTAGTGAAATATCTTTAAGATACTTCCAGTAGCTTGTAAATTTTGGAGAGAGTGGAATATAAAATAAAACCTGAATAATACATTTGGTTTTATGTGAAAAGTAAAATGATTGCTTTAAGAGAAAGGCTGATACTGGATTGTAGCAAAGGCATCTGCAAAGTTGCCCGGATTCTTAAAAACGGACTTGGGTTTTCAAACATCTATGCTGTTTTACAACACACTTCAAAGCAGAAGATCATTTTAAAGTCAGGTACTGGTTGCTTATCATGTTTCATTATTTCTGTGCATTTGTTAAAAATTGCATGCTGGGGGGGGGGTCATTTCAGGTTGTAATCCTTCTGATGTGTTCCATGTTCTATTCTGTTACATCTAATCCATATTCAGAGCTTATCTTGGCTTTGGTAGCTGGAATACTGAATTTTATTCCACTCTGTTGCTGTAGCATATCATTGTTTTAAAAATTAAAAGCACAATGAACAAACCTGGCCTCTTTCTATATAAGACTTGTAAAATGGCATTTAGTTCTAAGAACATTAGAAAGTGTTTAGTTTGGCAGACAAATGTTTCCTAAGGCCCTTTTTTTACTTTAGATGACTGTAATTTTCAGTTTTGTGCCAAAGGTGGAAAGTTTATTGCTGAAAATACCAAGTGCAGTATAATGGTATGGGGATTTAATATAAGAATGTAGCATGACAGGACAACTAGCTGCTGGAAAAGTTCTATTTAAAAAAGACACCTACTGTTAAAATAGTATTTTAGAATGACGTTCTGTGAGGTTGTGTCAGTTTGATGTTTGTTCATTCATCATTTTTTCACATTGCATTTTAAGTGCTTTTAATTTTCATCAGTTAAAGAATTTAACTAGAATTGTTAAGTTTTCCATTTAAATAAAAAATCACAAAGTTAATCTGAATGTTAAATTCCGTGAGATAGAAGTATGATTTCAAAAAGTGAAATAATCAGGGTTGCCATTCAGGTTTTTGTTTTTTAAATTCAGTTAATTATACAACTTGAGTTAAATTAATTAAGTTAATGTGTTAATTTTGCATCTAGGTAAAAAAGTTCTGGAACAAAAAGTATCCATCTTATGATTTTAGATGATGGATAGAAATATAGGAATTAGCATCTTTGCTGAAGAGGTACACCCAACTTTCTGTGAGAGAAGAGAATGCTTGATCTAAGGTTGTAATTTGCAGATTTTGTAAGAACTTTTATTAACAAATTTAATTTTTTTTTCATAATTAACCAGGGAAGGATAATTTAGATAATCAAAATGATCTGAACCATTTTTTCTAACAGATTAAGGATGCAATGCTGTGTGCTTTTACTTGGAAGGAAGTCTCATTGAAAATTGGATTTACTTCTGAGTAAATGTGCATAAGATAGCAATACACTGAAGCTTTCAGAGTTATTTTTATATAGCAAACCCAATTGATTGTAGGACTATTTCTAACTAATTTGCCTTGTTTTCTTAACCAGAGAATATTTGGAAAGAAGAGAGAAGCTGCTCTTTTAAAAT